TACTGCACAATCAAGCAGAAAAATATCAGAGATTTAAACAAAAAAAAAATTTAAATATGTAATACTTAAACCTTTAATACTCTGACTTGTAAGCACAGAAATAAAAACAAAGAAGTATTCACAAACTGAAAATGTTCCTTCCAATTCACATTACTTTCTGAGTAGATTAGATTAGAAAAATCAATGCTTGCTTTAATGTTATTATGTTATGACAATATCCAGAAATGCTTCCTCTACTAGCAAAAATAATGAGTGTAAATAAAAGCAATAGGGTTCCATACCTATAGAAGAAATATTGACATGAAGAAAAGAAAAATCACATTCTGAGAGGATGCACCCTCAGGTATATCTGCAAACGGCACCAAACGTCCACATCAACAGAAAAACACATTTCAGAAGTCACCCTAACAAATTAATAGCAATCATCTCTGCCATGGAATACATCCATAATATTTCTACCATGTATAAAACAGCTGAATATCTCAAGTATGAGGAATTCTGCAAAAGCTACAGTAGCAGGAAATAAAAAGTAATGCAGTAAGTAAGAAATGGGATGCTTTACAAAGTGATTTTCATTCTGTGGTTTATTTTTGAAGCAAGGATTTAGCTGTCATTTAAAAGTAATAAAATCAAAACTGTCATTTTATTCTTCTCCGAGTGTATGTACCCTACAGACCAGGAAGGACCCCATATAACTAATAATATCATTTTTTTGATATTTACGTTTTCTTATATCTTTTTTCTCCTTTCAGTGAGAGTCTGTGCTGACTCTCTGCACAGGGGTAGCTGTATTTTCCTCCCCTGACAAGTACATTAGTTCCATTAACACTGGCAGAGCAAGCACAACAGTCTTCTGTGTACCTTTATAATACTCATTGTCCATAAGCACTTGTGGAATTAAACAGTGAACTTTACCCTTGGGGCTGTCTCCGATTGGAAGGCAGCCACTGGATACAGAATGTTTTTGCAAACAGGTCAATCAGGAAGGTTAAGAGAGCAGACAAAAAAGCCCCAGATAGCTGAGAATAACCCTGCAGCCCTGCTGCCAACTTGCAGGAAACCCACACTATATTTTAATGGATGCCATTACTTAAATCTCTTGATGCTCACATGCCAAAATGGGCAACTTCATTGCTATGGCAACCAAAGCAATGCTGCTGCCCACTTGTGCCATCACAAGTCCTTTCCTTGTCTCCCTTTGTTGTAACTTTAATTCACTGGCTATTGCAGGGAGGGGGGAAGGGGACTTGGGGTGGCATCACTGCTTTTGTTACTGAAGAAACCACTTGTCCATTTCAGAAAAGAATCTGAACGGCCAAAAGACAGCGATAATGTGAATTCAAACCACAATGACTGTTTTAGTTAGCACTAGGGAGAAATAAGAAAGTAGACATTATAATATAAGGAAAAAAAAAAACAACAAACAAAACCTCACCAGAAAAGTTTCAGAAAAAAACAGAAAGGTTTGCTATATACAACACAGCAACCATCAGTTCAAAGCAAGAAATACCAGGAAAGAGAAATCTGGGAAAGAAGTGCAGAGGTGAGGAATGGACAAGTCAGTAAAGAAAGAAATGGAACTGAAGAAATGTTCAAAGTGGGTAAAAGAAATCAGAGGACAATAAAGCTTAGAAAAACACCTAAAAACTTTTACACTTTGGAACAAGATACTAAAAAACAAAATCAAAACCAAACTACTACAACAGCAAACAAATACACACCCAACACACATCAGTCTTCAACTTTCTAAATTTTGTTTTGCCAGATCTGAAACCACTGACACATTTTGGTCTGTTTTCACCAGGAAATCAGGTTTGTGCCATCACACCATGTGCAACAGAGCCAATACCATCCCCATGCAAATTATCCAGTGTCCACACTGGTAATAACTCCAGTTAAGGTTTTAGCCCTTGCTCACTGGGAGTAATATTTCTTTCCTGCAGTAGGTTCTATGGTATTTAATACACCAGAAGTTCGGCTACAGCCCTCCTAAAATTCAGCAGAAGTCAGTCAACAAGCAGACATACAAATTTTTCAGAAGCTTCATTAGTTTTGCAGCTTTGTGGAAGCTCCTGTTTTAGCTCTGAGAGGAAAGAGCTGTTTCTGTTGCCATGGATAATTCTCTAGACATATTTTTTTAATTCATGATACATTTTCACTTTTTGAGAGTAACTCTTTTGACTCAGTACATCTCTTTTCACCAATCAGCTTGTAAAAGCTGAGATAGTAAATGACTAGTGGAAAAGGGACAGAATCAGAGAAACAATTTACAAAGCAAAGAACTGAAAAGGAAAATACAATATAATTAAGCATTTCCCTCCCAAGGTGATTGATTTTGCCAGAAGTGACAAAATGAGAGGTAGCTGACATGAACAGGAAGGGTGGGACACACTAAGATGGAGAAATACAGTGCCAGGGAAAAGACAAGAGAAGAAGAACAAAAAGAGAGGGAGGAAAAGCAGACAAAATTTGAAAGCATGAAGTCAACAAAATGAAGGAAGGTCAAGCTGGGAGCAATGAGAAATTCAGCCTTGAATAGGCCAGTGTTCACAAAAGGAGCAAGTCAGAAAAAAAAGCATCATTAGTGGTGGAAAAGGGCAAGTTGTGGTTCACAGAAAAACAATTGAGAAAGATTTGGAGGCGGAGGGGGGGAAACCCACACAGAGTTTGGTAAAGACCAACTCAAGTGAATGAACTGAAGGAGTGAACAGGAGACACCATCCAGGAAACAGCAAGATGGCTCCAAAAGGATAAAAAGACAACTTCCAGAGCCGCTGGAATCTAGCTGGTTTTGACCTTGGAAATGGAGAATTTGTTTGGCATATTTGAGAAGAGTCTCAGATAACTTCAGGCGTTAGAGTACAACTTGCCCTCCTTTAACAGGATGTAATGACATAGACCAATTTTCTTTTTTTAAACTTACAAGAAGACAAAGTGTGGAGAAAGACTGTAAAAGAAATTCGTTTTGAAATAAAGAAAAATATTTGTGAACTTTGTATCATCACCATTATTGTTGCCACCTCTAATGTTTCCAAAAGAATTCTGCCACTACTCTGCTCTTAGCTTTGCAAGCAAACAAAATGACACAGACCATACACAGAAAAACAGATTTTGAGTATGTGGGGAAAAGGAGAGCACAATGACAATTATACAATGTAGTTACATTTATACATACATAAAAATGCAGTCTGAATTTCAGCATTCTGAGAAATGAAAGAACATGTCCTTCCAGCAGTGCACTGAGGATCTGACAGGATGGTTCTGAAAGGACAGTGCAATAACACCAATTTTTCACTACCTCAGATTGCTGCAGTAATCCAAAATGGAGTTTGTAACTCTCTCTCTCCAACAGGATACACAAAAGCACTATCTTTTATGAATCAGCTGACAAAGGAAAAAAAGAAAGAAGGTTCCTGGCAAACACACCACTCTCCAGATCACAGTAACTCGTGCCTGAAACTTCTTCTATTTCTTTCATGTATTTCTCTACAAGCCTGGCCTCTCTTACAGAGCCAGACCATGATGGCCATAACAACATGATCACAGCACAGGACATAGCAGTAATTAATCTGTTCCCATAAATTGCCCCAGTCTTCTATTCTCCATTCGGTACTATAACAATTCTTTGGCTTATCACTGAAAACTGGTATTGAAGAAAACAAAGAAGTAAGACTAGTTCACAGCAGTCCTTAAACCATGAGCAATATTTTAGGAAGTCAAACTGCTCTTAAGCACTACTGAGTCTTTGGAGTGTGTCACTTCACCCCTGTTTCGCAGAAACCGGATGAACTACATAAACAGGCTCTGCAGACAGACAGCAAGACTGAGAAAATGTGTTACTCCCCAGAACAAAATGCTTAGTTGGCTGTAAAAGAGGCAGTGAAAAATTCTAACTCAATTGGTTCAAATATATCTTTTCTTCTACTTCAGAAGCATTTATTGATAGGAATTGAATACACATATTTAAGATAACTGAAAAGGAAAGAAGCAGATTGCAAAATAACAGATGAGGAAAAGGTGGAGTAGTTGAGGAGATTCTTAAGAGCAAACTGCAGCAAGAAGTTTGCAGCTAAAATCTAACTAATATTTCTACTTTTTATTTTTGGCTTGTGAATTCAACATGGTACCAAAGTTGAATTACAACCTGCTGCCATTTAGGTGGGCTTTCATCCTGGTGAGCTGCACGGCAGACACAAAGCCCTTGAGAGGATTTCACCTCACTATGAATTAGTGTCTAACACTGAGAACGCCTTTCATCATCGGCTTGTATTGCCTTCAGGTGCCTATAAATTCCTCTCAGTCTTTATGTAGCACTTGTCTATCAGACCATGTCATCAGTTTTACTGCAGGCAAGAGGCAGACACACCTCTTCCTGAGACACAGACAACACAACAATTACCACAGCCACTCTTGCATTATCATTTCATATCAGCTCATTGCCAACTGCTAATCACCCACGACTGTGGAAAACATGTCGCACTTTCCAGGCTCTCTTCACCTCACTCGTGCTGAGAGCTGCAAGGTTAAGATGGTCTCATCGTTGACTACGCCAAGCCTCCATGAAAAAAACACCAGACATTGCATGCTATCTCAATGAATAGTGAACAAGAAATAAGAACTGAATAGCTAACAAATATTTATAAAAAAACATTAGGGACTTTCAATTTTTTTAACCAACTCTGTGCTGCATTTGTGTGTAACATATTTTATTAAAGAAGAGGTGAGGTGAAATTATGTCTTCTGAATTTTAAAATAAATACATTAGCATACCTATCCATCTCCAGGAAGCAGGCAACTCCAGGGGTGGGGTAAGGAGTGCCTAATGTTCAGGGTCAGCAACTTATTCTTACCTGTGGTTTAGAGAACTCTAAAGTTGCAAGCTTCCCTCACAGCTGTTTGTGAGGTGCTAACATGAGTGGCTGTTCATTCACACTGCCCCTGCCATCAACTCACTGTGAGATTCCTCACTGTGACACAACAGCCAAAGGAGAGGAACCGACCAAAGCGCTGTCTACCTGAAGGTTAAAATCCTTCACCTTAATTCACATTTCAGGCCTTACTTCTGACCCCGATTGAAGTCTGCACGTGTAAACAATGAGTAAAATGAGTTCAGGTAAATCACCTTCATGGCCCAGGTTAAGCTGTTTGGTACAGGAGAACCACCCACTCATAATTCAGTTACTCTTCTCAGCAGCAACTCCTGTCTCAGGGGTAGCAAAGTCACACAACCTGGGAACTCTGCAGCTTGTGATTGCTGACCCACACTTTCACCACACTGCTGTAGCCCCGAGATGCAGCTAATTTGTGCTGCCAAGCACCATTCTTTTAATGGCATCACAAAGTGTTTCAAGGAACTGAGTTCAATGCAATCTCTCACATCTCAGTAGTGACTGTGTCCCCTGCAGAGATGGAGCATCCTGCTGCTTTCCCATTTCCTGAAGAGCACACCCCAGCAGACACTGCCCTCTGGGTTCCCACTGCACAAGGGAACAAATGCACACCATTGAATTATTCTTACGAAACACTTCAGTCTTCAAACTGCAAATTCTCACCCAAATGTGTATTTTGCTTGTCACTCCTTTTATTCTGTTTTAACAGGAAGGAAGTAATCATAAACAAATTACTGCACAAAAGCATGCCAGCTCTGGCAGGCAGATTTCTGGCAGGTTTCAAAGCTATTGACAAAAACCAGTCTATTCACTGCAAGCATCCTACTTTTACAATCTATCTGATCAGGATGCAGAGGACTAATTCAATGGCTCCCGATGGAAAAATACCTAGTGGGCGTGTTCCATTTCTGGAGACAATGGTTTGCCATGCAGAGCTTTTCTCTTCCTACATCCCTCTAGTTCCCTGCCTTTAATTTTTTTTTTAAGATCTGAGGATTCTGTTCTGAAATACCACAGTAATACTTCACTTCCACAAAACCTACTTAAAAAAAAAGAAAAAAAAGAAGGAAAAAAAAAAAAGAAAAAAAAAAGGTGTGGGAGGGGGAGAAGCTTTTCAGGAAGGCTGGGACCCTACTAAGTACTACTTAGGGCAAGCTGCTTCTCACGGACATGTCCACATTATGTCGACTAAATATGGCACTGAATGTCAGAAATATACACATTAATCAGTTCAAAGATAATCAGGTCTAACAAAGAACTCTAAGAATTTCAGGTTTCATTCTGGAGTAACAGGCTAAACACAGCAGACTGTGCAATAAATGCTGCTGAGCCCACAGCCGTTCATTCACATGCCAACTGAGGGCTGACTCTCTGGCATTAGCAAGTCCATTTGCTCCCTGCTCTACCAACTATGACAAGGCTTTTATACATCAGCCACCAGGCAAATAAAATGAACATGTGAAAACTCATAACAGATCACATCTTCCAGTGTTCCCATCTCACAACAGCACTGACAACAATTACAGTTTCAGTACCACTCGCAGGCCTCTGACAAAGTGAAATTTCCATGTTTTACACAAAACTATTCCACGCATGGATTAGAATCTCATTAAAACAACACCTTCATTATCCTCTTTAAGAGCATTGTTTGTAAGGAATGGAAGAACTATCCACTGCAGTTTATTTATCAATATTTCTCTTTGGCTCCCAAAGGTATGTGCCTGCTCTCCCTTTGCGACTGAACTTGATGAAGTAGTCTGAGATTTAAGACATATTCCAGGTCTGAGCTCAAATTAGAAGACTTCATATTTCTGAAAGCTGTTTAGTTAATTTGTTTCATTTGGGTTGTGTTTGGGTTATTTTTTGTTTTTTTTTTCTCTCTTCTTCCTCTTCTATGGCACACTAATGCTCTTCCATTTAATTAGCCATAGTCTGTCCTTTCCTTGGCTCTCCAGGACACATTCTCTGAACAGTGTCCCCGAGCCCATTCACAGTGACAGGTGCTCTGCACCTGGTGAGCCTCACCTCTCTGGAGAGATGTTTGCAACCACAGCATCTACATATTCAACCATGGTGTTGGGCAGGCAGAAAAGGCTGAAAAGGTGAGCATGGCTACAACAGAAAAGAAATAATTCTACCAGTACAAAGGCCATAGCACATCATCCTGGCAATTTTCCTAGTTAGAAACAATGAAGAAATAAAGAGGCATTTTCTAGACTGTTGTGTATAATTCTGAGATTGTCTTCTTTCTCGTTCTCCTCATATATCACCAGTGAGAATCTAACACAGAGGAGTGGTAGTCATGCAGGTGCTTCCATAGCATTACTTGTGGGATTTTTGACAATTTTATGTGAGTGGAAACCTGTTTTGGCTGTTTGGCCATTTCAGGAAATGGGCCTGAAAAACAGTCCTTATTCAACCACCTATGTAGTGATTCTAAAAAGGGGAAAAAAACTGTTTTTCTATTTAATATTCTAGTAATTGGAGCTGGCAAAATTTAATTTCTAATGACCTGAGACACAGAAGGAAAAACATGTCATATGGCAAAATGATATTATCTATTATGAAAACATCAGCATTATGAAAATATCAGTATTATGTGTATACAGAATAAGCTACCTGCATTTTGAACTTTATCTTTCCCCCAGTTTTGAAACTTGTAGGGACACTTCAGCGTATCACACCACCACCAACCCTTCACATCAGCTAAACCAGACCTATGACTTCATTACCAGAAGAAAAACTAATTTACTTTATGCCACACCATTTTCAGATTGATTCTTACATCCACTTTGCTGGGAAATCCAAAGTTCAGAGCTCTCACAATCCATCTGCCCTCCGAACACGCACATGTATACACACCATCAGATGACTTGTTCCACTTTTGCAGCTTTTGTTTCAACAAACAACAATCTGGATGAAGAAATAACAAAGCACACTCCTCCCTCCCAAAATGATCTGCTTTTAATCACAAGCAACATTTAAAACAGACATTAGAAAGGAGAGGCTGCCCCTTTATAATTATGGAGTTTGATAATTACCTGGTGACTGGTAACAGACCCATTCTCAATGCATCTTCCTTCCTCTCTCCCTTGATAATGTAATCTAATCTCTTGGCTATGCTTTCATCTGGCATCCAATGCTGCACATTGTTTATCAAACAACAATCTTTTCTTAGGTAATGACAGAACAAAGGCAAGGAAGAGCAACTGTGGTAATACTGCAGCACTTACCACTTCAAAAGTAACTGAATCGCTATAATTTACACCGCCTCCGTGCTTTTTCTCCTCTTTTCCATCCAGTATTATCTCCTCTGTACAATACCACGACCTGCCTTCGCCCTTTGCTGGACACTCTCTATATTTACACCTTACAGAAGCTATTGTACAAAATGTCAACAGTGGAACTAAAAACACAAGCAGAAAGCTGAGATATTCCATATAAGTATTCATATTTGAAAGCACCGACATTTTCTGTGACAAGAAAATCATGTGCCTCAAGTTCCTTTCCTATCACTAAGTCTTAGCAATAATACGTCATGACTATTTAAACACAGATTTTAGTCTCTCAATAATACATTCAGAAATCCTGGTAAAACTCTAAACACAAATTTCTCAAATTTCTTTTATACCTCAACATTGATGAGAGGTCAGGCTGCAGAAGCTTTTTTCTTTGGATTTTCTGGGGCCAATGATCCTGTTTCCTAAAGATGCCTTTATATCTATTTCATATTCCCTGTGTGCCTTTACTTTGGCAATTCCTCACACCCACAAACCAAGACAGGACGATCCCTCCAACATCCCACCTGTGCAAGGTTCAAGACAACAATTGTGATGTAGTGAAGAATGAGGGCCCCAAAACCCCGATATTTTGACAGTTCACAACTTCAAGGACAACCAAGGGCAGCACAGTAGTAAAAAAAACCTGCCAACAGCAATCAGCAGCTGGGAATCAAAATCAGCCAGAAACAGCTGGGTCCATCTGTATAAATGGTATCTGCAGATCTAAAATAGCACAAATCACTGAATCCCAAGCCTGATCACTCTCATCAGGTTACACAGAAAAATGGAAAACAATTATAAAATAGATCCTAGTGAAGGAAGAGGTAGATGGCTATAAGGTATGCAGATATTTAATACAATATTAAACTAAGCTTTAAGATTTTTATACCAAAATAAATTGACATATTATATGCATTATTATAAAAGAAAGCCCTCAAGTACCACTCAGAGTCACACCCTTGTACTTATAACTCATAATCAAAGCATAATAGCTTTATGGTGCGTGACACTGACCCAAACTAATACTAAGATAATGATAATGCACTTCCCCTGCTCACTCCCCCTGTGACTTTAACAGGCTCAGGGAAAAAATTCCATCTTCCCTGTGCACAGTTTGAAGCACACAGCTCTGGTGATGCTTTCTGAAGACACAGCACAACCACCTACTTAAATAGGTATGAACCAATGAAGGACTGAGGTTAGCAAGTCAAAAACCACAGAAAAATGTGGTTTTGTGGGTGTGAGGATGCTGCCAAGCTGTGATGCTGTTACAGTCTCTGACTGAAAACACTAATCTGTAACAGGCAAACCTAGTTGAGGCCAGAGCTAAAGGAAGGGAAAATGGGGTAACAGCATGGCAAATCAAGTGTAAGGTTGGTATATTCTTCCATAATACATTAGAAAATTCTCACAAATTTTTTTCATGCTTACTTTGTGAAGTGACAAAACAAATAAGAAAGCTGTGGAAAAATTAATTATTATCCTCCATGTCACAGTCTGATTTCAGAGGCCTTTGCAATAACAGTCTTTGCAGACATGCACATAGTTACATGCAAGTTTAAGAGGACAAGCCAAAGAGATTTAGGTGAAAGCTTTGCTGATGTAACACCTAAACAAATAACTCACAGAACTCCCCCTGTGTGAAGGGGAAGTTGCTGTGACACAGAACAGGTGTGGAGCTTCGGCTCAACAGCCACACACGACTTCCCATGACAGACCTATCGCTTCTGGGACCACTTACACCGTCTTCTGCCACGAGGGTCAGGCTGGGGGTGAGGGGAGCTGTGCCACATCCCATCAATCCAGCACACAAAACCTGTCTCTTTGCATTTGCTACGGCAAGAGACCCTACACGTGCTGTCCTGCCCATGCTTTCCTGCTCTGGCCTCTTCTGCTTAAGGCAGGGAGGAAAAAAAGGGATAAAATGGGTCACTCAGAGAAGCTTTTAAATACACAGGATAGATCCTAACCCAAGGATGCTAACAATTTAATTTCTTCCCTATCACTTGCATAACAGCAGTGAATATTAGATGGATTAGACTGTTCCTAATGGTATTTATTTTTAAACAGCTACACCACCCAGTCAGGAGGGCAACAACTGTGTGCTGTAATTTGGCCTGAACATCCTTGCACCTGAACCTTGCAGTACCATCCTCTACCAGCACCACGCAGATCCCCTCTGGCAAAACAGTTGGTCATGACAAGGAACCCAGGATGATTCAAACTCAATTAATTTGTGTACCAGTTTGAAAAATGCAGCCCTCAGACTAAACACATTTCTCCACACCCCATGGAGAGCAGCTCTGCAGTTTTTGCCACTGTACTGTTCATCAAAGAGAAAAATAAGGATTGCTCGTAGCAATCACAGCCATACAGTGTCACTGCCTGGGTGTGCCTCACTCAGATCTTGTTCATCTCTCTGCAACCCCATGCCAGGTCAGACAAACACATGGATTGTCCTGCTTTGAAGTCAGCTGGCTCTCCAATTGAACTCTGGCTTCTCACACTACTGCAGGTAACAGAACAGTTTATACAACAAGGACTGCCAAACCATCTGTCAATCAAAAATGCCACAATTCTTACAAAGTACCCACCCCTTGTCCAGTGCACAGGTTGCTATCAATAATAAGCTCAATTTTGGAGCAGCTGAAAATGTTAAAGCAACTCTGCACCTGTTGTTGCATCTAAATCCACGGCATTTTAGCAGCTCCAGCTTCAGGTCAGTCTAGGGCAGAGGAAACAGGGTGGGAAGGCAGCAGACACTACAAGGGTTCTGCAGCTGCAAAGGCAAAGGGGAGGAAGGAGAGGTACCCAGAGCACATCTTCAACTCCCTTCCATAATTCCATAATTAAAAATGTCTCTTTACAATTTCCACAAACATCATCTATCCAGCAAATCACCGCTATTCCTTGCGGGCTATACCGCTGCCAATTATTCCTGGTAAGCACAAAGGTTAACAAATCTTCAATATTATTGGATAGCTCTTGTGAAAAAGACAAACCAGGAGTGAATCACAGCTTTATCAGCCACTGATCACCCCAGTCTATAAGAAAACAGCATTAATTAACATTCTCATTGCTGTTTTCTACCTTTCTTACCTTCTCTAATGAAATCTTAGCACAATCACTACCTTTATTTTATTATAAAAGTCATACTATGATTTTGCAACAAGAGAACGTTTATCAGTTTAAGTGTGTGGTTTTTAAAAAAAATAAAATTGTAGTTATTTTCTCAGTTTTTCTAAGAAAGTACTGTAACAGCTGAATGAGGAATGGTTATTTTAACCTCCAAAGGCTATTGTTCCCTTTTTTCTCCCAAAAATTGTCTGGAGCCAGACAACACAAGGCTGCTGTGCCCTGGGCTAGAATGGAAGGGGGAGGAATGATAGGAGGGGGGTGCCTGTTTACAATTACTCCATTCCTGTTTTTAATGAATCTTTCTGAATGACCACTAAGTGCTGGTTTTGTTCTTTGGAACAAGGGAGCTATTACTGGAGGACTAAAAAAAGGAAGGAAAAGGGAAAGCAAACGGAAAGCTGCCAAACTCCAGGGTGTTTCAAACACTTCAGCTGCATGTCCCGGAGGTAATCTGCTCCACAGGCACAAGGCTGTCCCCACACATTTGCAGCCTCTCTTTTCTTCCTCTCCCTTGACATGCTAAAATGAAACAGCTGAGATAAGGGGGTGGGCAGGAGATAGAGCTGAAGTAAGAATCAACAGAGCAACTAAAATACGAAGAATTACATTATTTAAGTTTGAGTAATTAGACCTTAATCACTGTCTATATTTGGCTACTACTGACACCTACAAGCCAGAATTGCAGAACCACATAAGGGGATGGGCCACTCTTGCACCATCATCTGCCTGTCCTGCACACCATCTGGTAGTTATCCTCCTAAAGAATCTGCCACTCCAG